AGACTACACTTACACTGAGAAAGGCTCGGGAAATCAATGTGGCCTAACTAACCATAGACTACACTTACACTGAGAAAGGCTCAGGAAATCAATGTGGCCTAACTAACCATAGACTACACTTACACTGAGAAAGGCTCAGGAAATCAATGTGGCCTAGTTAACCTTAGACAACACTTACACTGAGTAACTAACCGTAGACTGCACATACACTGAGAAAGGCTCAGGTAATCAATGTGGTCCAACTAACCATGGACTACACTTACACTGAGAAACTAACCGTAGACTACACTTTCACTGAGAAACTAACCGTAGACTACACTTTCACTGAGAAAGGTTCAGGTAATCAATGTAGCCTCGCATAGGGCGCCCATCTCGGTGTTCTCTATCGCAGCCATGTTCAAACCTCTGAACACAACACAAAAGCAACCGGATCTTGTAGTAGCAATACTCACCATGCCCAAACAAGTCACCAACAAGCATATAGGTGTACAACACACCATCAAGCATATAGGTATGCAACACACCAACAAGCATATAGGTATACAACACACCAACAAGCATATAGGTATACAACACACCAACAAGCATATAGGTATGCAACACACCAACAAGCATATAGGTATACAACACACCAACAAGCATATAGGTATACAACGCACTCGACAGTGCATGGACACACCCGCGTAGGTGCTGCTGAGGTCCATTGGCGGGTAAGACACATTGACATTGAAAGCCCTGAAGCCCAATGTGTGCACGGCTGTGAGAACGGCAAATTCAAGAGCCTGCTCAAAGTCACACAGAAGTTGTGTGTCTGGCTGCTCTCCTGATAAGGTGTGGAGAATGCGAGAGTGTAGGTCAGACGTGCACAAGCGGTACGACAAGACCTGTGATATCCATTGAACTGTTTGATGAAGTATTGGCTGTGTCATACAAGTTTTGTGTGGCAAGATAGGTGAAGTTTAGGGTGCACATAGTTTTGTAACTCATGGTAGACTTCTATATCTATATACATATATATATATATATATGAAGTTTAGGGTGCACATAGTTTTATAGCTCATGGTAGACTTCTA